CACCGGTGGATCAAGGAGGAACAAGACATCAATACTCTCATGGTTTTGAATGTGATATTTTTTATGTATTGGTATGTTTTTCCCATGAATACGCAAAGCTTGTGGTGTTTCATTGATAGGTCGAAGGGAGAGTACAAGGTTATGGTGTTACATTGGAGAGACGTACACGCAACGCGGCGAACAATGAACACCCGAGCAGTAGAGACTAGGGCTGCTCAACCCATTGATCCTACATCAACCCATGAGGATATGTTTGTGAGGACATGTGATACATAATATATGGACTGTTGGTCTTTTCACATGTTTGATCAAGTTTCTAGATATCAAATGTCTACAGTTTCAAATTTATATCACTTGATCCATCATGAAAAGTACCTTTTTTATTTTATCTATTAGATATTGGAGATAGATGTTGATATTTTCATCTATAACTGGAGTATGGTCACTCTTCATTGTTACTAACTTTTACTCCCTCCGTTCCTAAATATTTGTCTTTCTAGAGATTTCAAATGGTTACCACATACGGATGTATATAGACATATTTTAGAGTGTAGATTCACTCATTTTGCTCCGTATGTAATCACCATTTGAAACCTCTAGAAAGACAAAAATATATATATTCACTCTTCTGTTTTACCCTGAAAAGAAGAAAAAAATCAATATTCTGTTTTCACTATGTACTACTACGATGCATGCCACGTCAAAGGTGAAAAAAAGTCAAACGGAGGACTGGGATCCGGTCGATTTGGGGAAAACCTACGCCTCGAGATCCGGAAACCGATGAGCGACTCGGCGCATGCATGCATGCACTCCTATGCAAGCGGCAGTCTCCGTTGAACCGGCCGGTGAGCGGAAATGTCAAGGATGCCGATGACGCAGCGCCGTGCATGTCACTGCTGACAGCAACGAGGCGACGTCATCGGTGACTGGCAGAGCCAGAACCAAACAAAAAGCCAAGGTGTCGAGCTCGCGGCGCCCAAGGAAACGGCCGTAGGTAGCTAGGTTTCGTCTACGCCGGTGATCCTGATTCATCGTAGGTTAACGATGCCTTTTTGTCTGAGGCTGTGTGGCGCTCTCTCTCTGTCTCACCGTTTGAATCGAATAGCCAGTCCGGCGGCAAATGAGTAAATAAAGTCTAAAAAGATCTTCGAACGCCCTGGTCGAAATCGGACCCTCTACCGCATGATATTCCTCGAGGGCCCTGTTTGGATCCCTAAGTTAAAGTTAGTTTTAGTTAGTTGGGGCTCAAATAACCCAAAAGTATTTAAATATGATGGGTTAGTTTGGGTTAGTTGGATCTAACCCACCCAAAAAACTAGCCCAAACTAGAGGAGCTTATTTGGGTTAGTTCTTCTAGGCCCACTTAAAAAATAGTAAAAAAAGTTACCTCTCCCATTCAAATAGGGTTTAAAATTGTCAAATGATTGAGAAAAAATATTTATTGTCAATCTAACCCTACCATCCAAACAGCTCTTTGGTTAGAATTAGTTTAGGGTTAGTTCAGGATTAAAATATAACTCTAGCCTCTAACTAGTTAAAGTATCCAAACAGGGCCGAGGACGAAACCTGCACCGACACATGCTGCTACCTAGTCTTAGGCTGTACACATGTGCCCGGCCGGATCGACTTGACGTAGCAATGCCTCATTAGTTTAGCCAATTGTAAGTTGGCACAGTGGCACGTACGGACTACTACCTCCGTCCGGGATTACTAGTCCGGCCGACCGAATCCGCAGGACCAAGGCAAAACAAACACGCATGCAAACTCCTCGATTCACACGTTGTTATTAATTACTGCATGCATCTGCTGGCTTCTACGCATATCCCTTGCATTGGCTAGCTTCACGCATGCAGCGGGCAGAGTACTAGGCCCGAGACAAATGCGTGCATGCAGCCAGCCTCCTTCGCATGCAGCGGCTAGGAATTAATTTCCTTTAATCAGTTGAACAGCAACCGAGAGAAGCGGCCTAGTAAAAATAGGACGCGGCTGTGCTGCTGAACGGCCTTGTAAACCCGTACGGAGGTAGTAGGTCCTAGGATTGACACAGTTGGGTTACGATCCTGTACCTGTAGTGCCAGAAACGTTCCTGTAGCAACTGGACGCATGCCACCGGCTGAATTCACGTGCATGCGTACATCACATATATAATTGGCATGGGGTACGGCATGCTTGGCCTCATCGTTGAAACATCGACATGGGCGTTCCGACATGTCGACGTCGTTCATCTCATGCATAATGCATTCATGCATGCAGCGTGTGAATTAATTAGTGTCTATCTCCAAGTACCGTACGACATCACATGCACACCCTGGTGTGTCCTCGTGTTTCCTCGACTGGTCACGTCGCTGCTGGCACGTACGGGAGTGGCGGCCAAAGGCTCCATGGAGAGTTTTAATTTTCTCTGCCCCTCAGCTTGAAAAACGATCTTATTTGTGGGACGGAGAGTTTTAATTTCCAGAGTTAACTGCATTTTACTTTTATGCTTCCCAGTGACCGAGTCATCCATCTATTCTCGTCAACAGTCAATGTCCTTCCGGCAGAGCAAAAAATAGTCAATGTAGTTGGTTCTCTGGCCATCTTGGATTCTTGGAGCATGATTCAACCATTGTCTAAAAAAGCTTGGTCAATGCAGTATCTCGGGATCAGCACACATGCCGATGCATGTGAAAAACGTATTATCGTACAACATGCATGGGCCCTTAGAATTTTGATTATAAAAATGAACTGCCAAAAATATTACTCCCTCCGTCACAGTTTAGAAGACACAGTTAAATTTGCGTGCGTTTCCACAATAGACAAGGTTTAGGACGCATTGCATTTATTTCTAGTAGCTAATTAGTACTTCGATATACTATTTCTATATGCATGCGTAGTGTGGATGCTATTTTTTAGCCCATCTCACAATCAATAGACAACCACCTAGGTCCCAGAGAATTTCCAAGCGCGTCTTCTAAGACTAGCCACAGTGGGAGTAACTTCAGCAGTAACATCGAGCCCAACTCAGCAAATTTGCTTATGTGGCAATGAGTTAATGAGGAGAGAGGTAGTTGTAGTAACTTAACTAGTTACTGTACATCACATGTCCCAATGCAATATGAGTCTATAACCTAATAAATGAATCCTTGCATGTTACCACACTTTAAGTTACTACCCACTGTGAAGATAGTAACATAGTCTAGGAATACGTGTATGTTACTAGTGTATGTTACTCTCCATTGTGGCTAGTCTAAACCGTGACGGAGGTAGTAGTATTACATGTGCTGTTTTTTGCAAAAAGGATATCAGTGAAAAGTATGTCCCTCCATTTCAAGATACATTGCATCATTAGTAGTTCATTCGTACTTTGTCAAACCTATGTGTTAGAAAAAAAAACTTAGTCAAACTTCACAAAGTTTGACTTACGATAAAACTAAAATATGGTGTATTGTGAAATGGAGAGAGTACATAGGATTGCAGTAATAATTTGGCTACATGCATTACTCTAGTGTGGACAGTGATAAGCTATTTTACTTCGCAAAAAAGTGATAAACTATTTCAGCTTATTTGGAAAAAAACATGGTAGCTATGATTATGAAATGAACTGCAATTTCTATCAGAACAATCAATACATTTTCCAAGGGTACATTAATGCCATTTCATACTAATAACCAAAAGTCTACAATATCGATTAATTATGGTATTTTTTCAAATAAGAAAGTCATTAGATGACCGTCTAGGAATAACTCGGAGTTCAAGTTCATCTAGATCTTGCTGAAATTGTTCCCAAGCCCCGCCACCGACTAGCCTATATACAATACAAGAATGTGCAAATAAGAAGGTCCTTAAACTTTTTTCGACTAAAAAATAAAGGCCATTCAAGATATTTTGTGGATCTTGTGATCAAGATCACACAATCTGGCCATCTTCACCATCTTTTTAAATGTCGGCTATCCAAGTTTAACCCTAGCCCCGACTTACTTCTCTACGTCCTTAGGGTTTTATCGCCCCCAGAGCCCCCCACGATACCAACCTGTTGCTCAATGGCTTTCGATGTTCTCACAATCCCTATTTCGCGCCATCATCTCCTACCACTACCACATCTCTTTGCCCATCACAATGTTGTTGCCACCTCTTCTCGTAAAAAAAGGGAAAAAAGATGAAGATAAGCTAGCAATTTAGAGACGATAAGCAAGAGGCACTATTGTGAAGCAAGGATACAAGCCGATGGAGCCCAAGCATTTTGGAGCAATGGCAACGGGTATTGGAAGCTTGTGAGAAGCATTTCCCCCCACAAAATTGCGTTTGTCCGTTTTCTGGTTAGAGCCAGGGAAAAAGACGAAGGTGGAGTCTAAATCAGCAAAAGCTCCTTGTTTAGGAAAGTAAACAACCGTCTCTAAGAATGAAGAGACGTTGCAACTGCACCTACACTCTCGGCTAGTGTACAAGTTTTCTTTTGGAAACCCACCTGTGTAGGTTGATTGGCAAGGAAATACACCTCATCTCCCTTCGATCCATATCATTTATCGCTCGGATGTATTTAGACATATTTCAATACTAGATACATCTATTGAGCCATAAATAGTATGAATCGAAGGGTGTCAAAAACGCTCTTATATTATAAGACGGATTGAGTACTTTCTAATTTGGCGTACATTTTTTTAACACGGTACAAACGCACACTCTATCCCTATGAGCATCTTCGAAATACTGAGCCGGAAATCCGGAAATAAATACAGGAATAGATGCGAGCATCAGGATTTGAACTCTGATGGGTTGGGAATACCACAGTGGCTCTAACCATCCAACCACATATTGGTTCGCTAATTTGGCGTACTTGTGACCTGCAAGCTGTTGTAGGCTGCAGTTTGTGAGCCGTTCTACGGTTTTTCTTATAATTAGAGTGGAGCTCTTGTCCATCCTCCATATATACCCAGCGTCCATCACGTCCTCCCACACAAACTCGCTCATAAGCCAAGAAACGTTCTCCCCAGAGCTCGCTGGTTAACAACACGTCCGTAGCCATGGTGCACGCCGACGAAACCACACACATCCTCCTCGTCCCGTACCCGGCCCAGGGCCACCTCAACCCGATCCTCCAGTTCGGCAAGCGGCTCGCCGGCCACGGCGGCGTCCGGTGCACCGTCGCGGCGACCAAGTTCGTCGTCGGCTCCACGAAGCCGTCCCCGGGCTCGGTGCACGTCGCCGTTTTCTCCGACGGCTGCGACGCCGGCGGGCCCGCTGAGCTGGGCGGGCACAAGGGCCCCTACTTCGAGCAGCTGGAGTCGGCCGGGTCCGAGGCGCTGGACGAGCTCCTCCGGACCGAGGCGGCGAGTGGCCGCCCAGTGCGCGTGGTGGTGTACGACACGTTCATGCCGTGGGTGGCGCCCCTGGCGCGGCGGTACGGGGCGGCGTGCGCGGCGGTGCTCACCCAGACGTGCACCGTGGACGTCGTGTACACGCACGCACGGGCCGGGCGCGTGCCGGTGCCGGTGCGCAAGGGGGACTCCCCACTCGAGCTCCCTGGACTGTCGTGCCGGCTCGGCGCCGCCGACGTGCCGACGTTCCTGACCGACTCCGACGCGCACCACCCGTCCCTACGCGACATGCTAATGAACCAGTTCGCCGGGCTCGGCGCCGTGGATCACGTGTTCGTCAACTCCTTCTTCGACCTGGAGCCTCAGGTGAGCGCCACGCGAATCCGCCCTTGGCATCATATGCCGCGTGTGTCCCAAGCAGAGCGTACGTGCGTTCAATGCCAGGGCGCGCGTCGCATGCAGCAATGCAGCATACGTGCAAACACGTCGCTCGCAACGTGCAACCAATTGACGTTTACTGCCATTAATGGATTCCGAGCATTTGCACTGACGACACCGGCTACACTGTGTGCTTACGTATGTGCAGGAAGCCGAGTACCTGGCGTCGACGCTGGGGGCCAGGACGATCGGGCCGACGGTGCCGTCGGCGTACCTGGACGACCGCCTGCCCGACGACGCGTCCTACGGCTTCCACCTGCACACCCCGATGACGGCCGTGACCAAGGCGTGGCTGGACGCGCGCCCGCCGCGCTCCGTCGTGTACGCCTCCTTCGGCAGCATCGTGGCGCCGGGGCCGGACCAGATGGCCGAGGTGGCCGAGGGCCTCCGCAACGCCGGCAGCCAATTCCTGTGGGTGGTGCGCGCCACGGAGACGGCCAAGCTGCCCGAGGGCTTCGCGGCGAGGGCGGCGGCGCGGGGGGACCTGATCGTGCCGTGGTGCCCGCAGCTGGAGGTGCTGGCGCACGGCGCCGTGGGGTGCTTCGTGACGCACTGCGGGTGGAACTCCACCGTGGAGGCGCTGAGCGCCGGCGTGCCGATGGTGGCGGTGCCGCAGTGGTCGGACCAGCCGACCAACGCCAAGTACATCGAGGACGTGTGGCGCGTTGGCGTGCGCGCGCGGCCGGACGCCGGCGGGCTGGTGAGGAAGGGGGAGGTGGAGAGATGCATCAAGGAGGTGATGGGCGGCAAGGAGTACAAGAGGAGGGCGTCGGAGTGGCGGGAGAAGGCCAAGGCCGCCGTGAGCGAGGGCGGCACCTCCGACCGCAACATCGCCGATTTCCTCTCGAAATATCGCGTGGCAAAATGATCTCGAACACTTTTCAGAAGAAGAAGAAAAGATCTCGAGAACTCGAGACTATTGGGATCTGTGGTCTGAGAGTATTTAACCAAAAACTACCACATTTGCCGAAAACGTGACGGAAAACTACCACTCTACTTTTTGTGCGAAAAACTATCAAATTTTTCCTAAACCGTGACAAAAAACTACCAACTCGCGAAAACGCTCGCTTCGCCCGCGCTAACCCCGTTTCTGACCGGTTGGGCCCGCGAACAGTTGCCACGCGGGCTAACGGGCGGCCGGCGCACGTTGACGGCTGTTAACGGCGTGTCCGCTGTCGGAACGGCGACTGTCGGTCGGCCAATGGGTCAAGATCTGATCCTCTCCCCTCTCGTTGTACTCTCTCCGTCCTCTCCCTCTCTCTGAACTAGGTGGCGGCGGCGACGACGACGATGGCGGCGGTGGTTCCGGAGGGGGGCGTCGGCGATATGGGTGGTGGCGGCGGCGGCGGCGACGCTGGCGGTGGCGGCACAAGTTTGGACGCTGCGGGCTCAGTCGACAATTGGTTGGGGAGCACCAGCTTCTCGACGCAGGCCGGCTCGCAGCAGCAGGAGGCACAGCTCGCCCAGTCATCGCCAATGGGTTGCAGGTATGGAAATATCATCTGCTAGGTTAGCTGCTTCAATCTGTCAATTTGGTTAGCTGCTCATGAATTGGTTAGCTGCTTCAATCTGGCAAATTAGTAAGATGTGTTTGTTACAGATTGTTGTGTAGTAAACTGTATTGCACTTGTAGCTCTATCATTTTCAATTCAATTCATGAGCACCTATTTCTGCAGTTTTGCTGACAAGAAGTGAAAGATATGGTTTCATTTAGAAGGAAGAAACCCTGTGAAAAGGGGTATATATGAGTCAGATATATCTTTTGTTACTCTACAATCACTCATTGCTAGTGAAGGGTATGGACAGAGTGATTACATGTACTATGTGAAGGAGGAGGAAATTGGATCTGAAAGAGTAAAGTATTTAGGTAATGAAGCTAGTGTTCATGAAATGTTGGAGTTTGTTAATTATGTTAATGTTGTGAACATAAAGGTTGTGAGAGATGTTGAACCTGGAATAAGCACACAGGCTATTCAGAATTACATGAACACTCAAGAGAGTTACTGTGTGCAAAAGGTTGTGGAGCAATCTGAGCTTCAGAATGAGATAGATGATAGAAAGGCTCAGCTTGAGCGGAGCAGGATTCAAAGAGAGGCAGATTTGAACCACTTTGAAGGAGACACTGAAGTGTCTGAATTTTGTTCTGCTGATTCAGTTCATTCAGATGGGAGTGCTGAAGCTATTCAACAAATGGAAATAGAGTGTGCCTCTCAAGAGGAAACAACATTGCAAAGTACTGCTATTGTGAAACATGTGAAGAACCCTGGGCCAACTAGCAGATGTCACAATGAGGTAGAGAAAAAACGTTTTGAAGATTGGTTTCCTGAAGCAGATGAGTTTTGTTTTGCTGGTGATGCAGGCATAAGTGATGAGGAAGAAGAAGATGAAGTTGAACTATCATACATCATGAAGAAGCCAAAGACAAAGAGTAGTAAGAAAAAGATGAAGGAAAGGGTATATTTTGACCCTTCAATTCCCAATTCACATTTACTCTTGTGCAAGAGCTTGTGTTTTGATTCTGTTTGCCAGTTCAGAGAAGCATTAAGAGATTTTTATATAAGGACTTTGAGGTCTTTTCACTACCACAGGAACACTCCAACAAGAATTATTGTTTGGTGTTCACAGAGAGAGCATGGATGTGAATTTTACATGTGTGCCTCCAGGATAGCTCATGAAAGAACATTTTGCATTAAGAAGTGTAACATGGAGCACACTTGTCCAGCATCAGCAGAGAACACAAAGGTTACTACAAAGTGGCTTTCCAAAGCAGTTGAGCCTTCTCTTAGAGCAGATCCTAGAGCACCTGTGGATTCACTAATTAAAAACAGCAAAGTCAAGTTTTCAGTTGATGTATCAAAGAGTGTGGCCTATAGGGCAAGGAGGAAGGCTATTAAGGTTGTACAAGGTGACCAGAAGGAGCACTACTATAGACTGAGGGACTACCTACAAGCAGTTCTTGACACAAACCCTGGTAGCAGGTGTGTAGTTACAACATTTGAGGACCCAGAAAACCCTGCCCCAACTCCTAGATTTAAGTACATGTTCTACTGCTTGCATGCATCAAAGCAAGGATTTTTTAATGGTTGCAGGCCCTTTATAGGTAAATATATAACTGCATTTTGTTCAAAATATCTTGTTGTAATTTTTTGGTAGCTAATTTGGGTATGGATGCAGGGCTTGATGGTTGCTTCATCAAGCTAACCACTGGACAGCAAATTCTTGCAGCCACAGGAAGAGATGGCAACAACAACATCTACCCCATAGCCTTTGGTGTGGTTGGTAAGGAAGATTCAGAAAGTTGGACATGGTTCTTAACCCAGCTAAGATGTTGCATTGGAAGTGGAAGCAAATTTGGAACCTACACCATTATTTCTGACAGGCAAAAGGTATGCAACCTATCTTAGCCAGTAGTTCAGATAAATATAGTTATTACTGGCTTTATTTGTTTTTGTTCATGACCATGGTTATTAATTTACAATCAGGGTCTTCTTAAGGCTATAAATGAGGTGTTCCCTGATTCCCCTCAGAGATACTGCCTCAGGCACATCTATGCAAATTTTCAGTCAGCTGGTTTCAGAGGAGCAGAACTAAAAAAGCTAGTAGATAAGGCTAGCTACTCATTCACCAAACATGGCCATGAATTAGCAATGGCAGAGCTTAAAGTAGAGTGTGAGGATGCCTGGAAGTGGCTTACAAAAATTCAAAAGGAGACTTGGTGTAGGTCTTCAATGGATTACAATTGCAAAACTGATCTTGTTGTGAACAACCTTAGTGAGGTTTTCAACAAAATGATCCTTGATGTTAGGGCCAAACCAATTAGAACTATGTTTGAAGGAATAAGGTGTGACGTCCCCGATTTGACCGTACACTAATCATGCACGCAAATGTGTACGACCAAGATCAGGAACTCACGGGAAGATATCACAACACAACTCTAGACACAAATTAAAATAATACAAGCTTTATATTACAAGCCAGGGGCCTCGAAGGCTCGAATACAAATGCTCGAAGGCACAAGAGTCAGTGGAAGCAACAATACCTGAGTACAGACATAAGTTAAACAAGTTTGCCTTAAGAAGGCTAGCACAAACGGGGATACAGATCGAAAGAAGCGCATGCCTCCTGCCTGGGATCCTCCTAAACTACTCCTGATCGTCGTCAGCGGGCAGCACGTAGTAGTAGGCACCTCCGGTGTAGTAGGAGTCATCGTCGAAGGTGGCGTCTGGCTCCTGGGCTCCAACATCTGGTTGCGAAAACCAGGTAGAAGGGATAGGGGGAAAAGAGGGAGAAAGCAACCGTGAGTACTCATCCAAAGTACTCGCAAGCAAGGAGCTACACTACATATGCATGGGTAAAAGTGTAAAGGACCATATCGGTGGACTGAACTGCAGAAAGCCAGAATAAGAGGGGGATAGCTAATCCTGTCGAAGACTACACTTCTGGCCACCTCCATCTTGCAGCATGTAGAAGAGAGTAGACTGAAGTCCTCCAAGTAGCATCGCATAGCATAATCCTAACCGATGATCCTCCCCTCGTCGCCCTGTGAGAGAGCGACCACCGGTTGTATCTGGCACTTTGAAGGTTGTATTTTATTAAGTATCCGGTTCTAGTTGTCATAAGGTCAAGGTACAACTCCAAGTCATCCTGTTACCGAAGATCACGGTTATTCGAATAGATTAACTTCCCTGCAGGGGTGCACCACATAACCCAACACGCTCGATCCCATTTGGCCGGACACACTTTCCTGAGTCATGCCCGGCCTCGGAAGATCAACACGTCGTAGCCCTACCTAGGCACAACAGAAAGGTCAGCACGCCGGTCTAAATCCTATGGCGCAAGGGTCTGGGCCCATCGCCCATTGCACACCTGCACGTTGCGTACGCGACCGGAAGCAAAACTAGCCCCCTTAATACAAGAGCAGGCTTACGGTCCAATCCGGCGCGCGCCACTCAGTCGCTGACGTCACGAAGGCTTCGGCTGATACCACGACGTCGAGTGCCCATAACTGTCCCCACGTAGATGGTTAGTGCATATAAGCCAGTGGCCAGACTCAGATCAAATACCAAGATCTCGTTAAGCGTGTTTAAGTATTCGCGAACGCCAATCAGGGCCAGGCCCACCTCTCTCCTAGGTGGTCTCAACCTGCCCTGCCGCTCCGCCACAAAGTAACAGTCGGGGGCCGTCGGGAACTCAGGCCCACCACTACCTGGATGGAGCCACCTGCCCCTTCAGCCCCCATCTCCAGACAGTATCACCGGTAATGTAACGGTGTAAAGTATATAGTATATGCCCGTGATCACCTCCCGAAGTGATCACGGTCCAGTAGTATAGCATGGCAGACAGACAAGAGTGTAGGGCCACTGATGGAACACTAGCATCCTATACTAAGCATTGGGATTGCAGGTAAAGGTAACAACAGTAGTAGCAAGGACAGGCTATGCATCAGAATAGGATTAACGGAAAGCAGTAACATGCTACGCTACTCTAATGCAAGCAGTAGAAAGAGAGTAGGCGATATCTGGTGATCAAGGGAGGGCTTGCCTGGTTGCTCTGGCAAGAAGGAGGGGTCATCTTCGATGTAGTCGAACACACGGACATCGGCAGCGGTCTCGGAGTCTACCAAAAATGAGTAACGGAGGGGGAACACAATAAATAACAGAGCAATCAAATGTAACACAAAGCAAGACGCGGCAATACGTTGTGCTAGGGGTGACCTAACGTAGGGATAGACGATACCGACGAAGGGGGGAAACATCCGGGAAAGTATTCCCGGTGTTTCGCGTTTTCGGGCAGATGAACCGGAGAGGGAAAGTCGTGTGTTCGCTATGTTAGGGATATGTGACGGACGAACATACTGCGTATCCGGAT